TTCATATGAGCAGCTGTGGTCTTTAACAGAGAGGGTAGCAGTGACATTCCTGCTTCAGGTGTTGGCTGCATACCCAGTTGTTCTTCCAGGGCTTCTTGAATCTGGAATGTAAGTATAGTTGATCTGTCTCAAGTTGTGGTATCAACTTCCTGTTCATCACCTTGAAGCTTTGGGTAGCTAGCTGTTTCTGACTTAGTATGGATGCAGGTCTTCTGTCCATCCATAGTTTCCCTCATACATTTTATATATCTTTTCTCATTAGGTCTGCTATTATAGTAGCATTCCATCAATTACAGGTTCTATTGTCTCATTGTTATATGGTTTGTCCTAGTAGCCCACTTATGAATCAGATTGTACTCCACATAACTCAGTATTCTTTAGTACTCAAAATGGTAGCTGTAGCAGACAAAGCAACTCTCCATACAGAACAGCATGAAGCAAAGAAGCAAGTTCCAGGGAAGAACCTAGAAATAGGAAATGTAGAAGACACTTTCTGGCCCATGCAAAAGAAATAAGACTCTAACTAAACTTTCTGGGGAAGGAAAAGACACTGTCAGAGAAAAGATAGGATTCTGAATCTGTGGAAATCAAAGGGAATACAACTGTGGCCTATGGGAAGATAAGGAGTCATGGCCATTGATGACTTATTGAAACAAATGTGTGCCAACTGGAACCATCAGCTCATCAGCTGTGCTGTTAGCCAAAAACAAGGACCAGAAATGTGCCAGAATCACTTACAAGAATTACCAAAAAGTGAGAGTTATCCTTTTCTATATGAACAAATACCACAAAAAGTAACTTATATTAATTCATGGCATTTCTACATTGCACATCTCACCTAAGTGACTATATAATAGTATAACATAAACCTTAAAAGTCTAGGAATAAGTTCAAGAATCTGAGGGATGAAATAGTACTCTCATCCACACTTCATAAAAGAAGACTGAAAAAGAAAAAAGGGAATACTGAAAATGAATGACTGGCTATTCAAATTACATTGACAGCAATTGTTTGGTTTCTGAATTCATGGTTTGAGTTATGAATGATAGACTGCTGGCATGAGATGAGTTGCAGTTCACATAGACTAATAAAAATATGCTTGGACAAAGCTTGTTAAGTTTGCTCAGGAGAGTCTTAAATTGAAACCTGTGGGGTTTGAAAGACAAACATTCTGAACAAGAACTTTGAACAAAGACTTGTGTAGAAGAAATGGGAGTGTTGCTGTTACTATGGCTCACTAAATCTCAGTGAAAAATCAGAAAGAACATTGGCTCATAAAGTTCATGGCCTTCATTTTTTATACAATAAAGCTCACAGTATGGGAAATAAGATTTAATAGTTATAATAGAGTCCTTGTGGGATGACTCCTGTGATTGGAATATGACAATTGAGGTATGACATTTGTTCAAGTGGAACAAAAGCAATAGAAAAGAAAATGCATTCTTTTTAAAGGGAAACATACTATTCTTTAACCTGAGTATGGTAGAGATAGATCTTGGATTTCAAAAAAATAGATGTTGATAAACTCAAGTAAATAGGTAAATCTCTCATCAGGAGAGATTGGAGGAACAGAATATATACAATGTTATAAGATTCCATTCTGCAATTGTATTTTTTAATATATTTATTCATTGGATGGGTAAAAGGCATTCACCAAATTTGCTGTTAACACAAAATGGGTGGGATACTTCATAACTTAGAAGCTTGAAATAAAATTCTAATTCTTACTCAAGAAACTTTCCAAAAGGACTTGCTCTAGCAGGTTCATAAAAATATATTTTTCTACGCCTACATGAATTCCTTTTTAAAGCAATCCCATCACTGTCGCCGGGGATGATGGTGATTTCCCTGCCTTTCTTGGCATGTTGACCAATTTCTTCAAATATCTGCACTTCCTCATCAACACCTCACCTCAAGTGAAAACTTAGTGTGGCCCAGCTAATATAATTTTACTTATATAATGCTGCAGAAAATATGCAATTGCAACTAATGAAAATAAGGAAGCAAATTCTATGCCAAGGATAAGAGTGAAGTATTTTAAGGTGAGATTTTGTCATCCAATTTTCAAATTAAATTCTCCGCCCATAATATCCTATGAATTGCCTAATATAAATAGATAGTGGAAAAGATAGATGCTTTCATACAGGCCAAGTAATGCACACTTTAATGCATTAAATCAGTTTTTTCACAAATAATTAAAAGTAATCACATGTATATCCACACACAAAACACATCCAGCAGTTTTCGACCAATTTTAGTTGTGTAGAATAACTCATATATTGTGGAAAATATGACATTTCTAAAGATTCAAAGATTTAGGGAATACCTTATTTATTCTTATTTATTTCTTATTTCTTCAATTTGTACAACTGCCCATCTCACATTTGTGACTGGGTGGCTCATATAATTAAAACAACCACATAACCTCCCCCTCAAAAATACTTTACTTTCATAAAGTATTTAATGAAGTTTAAAAATATTTTAAAACTACATTAAAAGCATAAAACACAATAAGCAGGTAAGGGCAAGTCATAATCAATCAATATAACCATCCAGCAGGCCCCAAACCATAACTGGATCCCTGGGTACAAGGACAAAGACATGTCTTCAGAGTCTTTCAAAAATTAAGTGTGGTGGATGAATTAACTAATGATATTTCAGAGTGGGCACTGGCAGTAAAGGCGCTTTCTCTCCCTGGATCCACTAATGTGTTTCTTCTGCTAGACCTGATGGGATAGGTAAATGTAACTGGGAAAATAATCTGGCCTCACATCATGAAGACCTTTATGGTTCATTACCAATACTTGGTATTGAACCAGAAGCATACTGGCAATTAATGCAATTCACGGTGCAGAGGTGTAATGTGCACTAATTAAGGGATGCCCATAATTGCCCATGACAGTACATGTTGCATCCGCTGAAACTTCTGGATACTTTTCAAGGGCAGTCCCATGTAGACACATTACAATAATCCATTCAGGATGTGACCAGGGCTTGAGTGAGGAATCATCCTTACAGGATTATCTGTAGCCTGGATGGACTATTGATGAAGCAATGTGATCCAAATTAGAGTAATCTATGTTTTTCAAGAGCTATAGGTTTTTCAAGAGCTCTTACTATTCCAACTAGAAAGGGTAAATATGAGTTAACCTATTTATTTTGATTAGCATAGGAATAATTCAGAATAGCATAAGAATAATTGTTAATATCCAATTATTGGACTAGGAGCCCTGTATTAAACCCTACATTGGTATGTTGGTATATTAATCAGCATTGCAGTGTTTACATTGTCTTTCTTCATAGACAAGAAGAATAACATGATTACTTAGTCCAATCAAAACTCAAAGCTTGTTTGTGGTTTCATAATCCTTTGAACTAGTTTTTAAAACATCAGTTCTCTATGGGTTTCAGAGTTTCTTAGTCAAACGAATGCATTTATTCTGTAGTAATGACCTTTCTCTGTCCTTGGCCATAGTGAGAAATTTATAGCTGAACCTGTAAATAAAACTGATGAACCCACAGATGAACATCTATGATTGGAGGTAAGATTGTGGCTTGTCTCTATTGATGGGGACTGGTTCATATAACTCAACTCTTCTTCAATCCAGTGCCTTCCAGATTTTGTTGGATTTTAGTTTTCAGAATTTGTAGCCAGTGGGCTTTCAGCTGCTCTTGTAGAAATTCAAAGAAATTAATTCCAATGCCCAGGATTCTTAGCTAGCATAGCATTATAAACTAGGATAGGAAGGTGCAGCATTGCAAAAATTCCAAAATTTGGAGAATGACATAAAAAAGAAAGTCATTTTATAACACCATACTATACTTATAAGCATAGGGACTTCAAACAGATCTTGAACTTGAGTTTACGTAGAATGCTCAAAATAATTCTGGACAGTGACCAACTTTTAAAATAAATTTTGGGAGAACAAGTTTACATAGAATGAGCAATGTAGAATAGTTCCAAATGTGTAGGGATGTGGCTGTGATTCCTCATTGACAGGCTATATAATAGGTATGAACAAAGCATTTGAAAGAGATGTTTTGCAACATGCCAAAGCACAAACAGAATAATTCTTTTGACATAGTAACAGAACCATTTGTTGGCAATCATATGCTACCCCTGGTCATTCCCATTCTGATGTGTATGTACAGCTATTTTTGAAGTTGCCACACAGGCTTTCCAAACGATGCTGCTGCTTCAACAGTTCAGTTAGTATAGGCATACATACATACATACAATACAATACCATACAATACAATACAATACAATACAACACAACACAACACAACACAACACAATACATACATAATATTAAAAGTCTCACGAAGAACATGAAAACTAAAACAAGTCAATGACAAAGTAGTAAAGAAAACAAGAAAATAGGCAACAGTGCAGACAGAAAAAAACAGTAAGAAGCTTGTGATTTCCTTTGCAGCAAATATAAATAAAATTACAAAATTAACCCTTACTCTATGATTACAAACTCACTCTTTTGTCTATTATCCAGACTTTTTTTCCTCATCATCAAAACCAAAAATAATAAGTGCATTTTTCCATTTCATGCAAAAAGTTTATAAAAGATTTCCAGTCAAACATAAATGTAAATACTGTTTTTTCACTAATCAAAGGGGTTAATTTAGCCATGTCCACAAGTCCCTTCATCTTCACTAAGCTGCTTTAACAATTCTTTTTGTGTATGTGTTGTGATGTCACATGACATACATGCATGCATCAGGGCATAACACTTATTTGTAACTTTGTTAATTTACTTCCCAGAATTTCTCTATTGCATAATCTTCAGGTTTTCAGGCTCTAGGCAATTTACACCATTGGAAATAAAATGTCAATACAAAATTACAAACCATCAGATTCTGCAGGTCCTGAAACTGGGAATCTTCATTAGCAGTCCAGCATGTTGCAAAGATTTCTTTCCTATGATTTGCACAGCCCTATTAAATAAACGCTTCATGTCATCAGAGACAAAAATTCTAGGACCAAGACTCTCAGCTTACATCTGATTCTGGGTTTCCTATCAAACCATAATTTATTCAGAAAAGTATCTTTGGATGTGCTGTACTCTTCTGAAGAGAAAAGAGAACATATATTTTCATGCAATTTACAAAAGTGAACTGAAACACTAAGTATACTTTAGGTTCTCCAACTGTGTATTAAAATTTGATATATCCAACTGAATGTATCAAAAGTATGTATCATATTTTTATATAATGACTAGATTTTAAAATGATGGTCCTAGTTTTAATAAAAGGACAAAATCAGAAAGAATATAGCCACTGAAACAGATTTAATTTTGCAAAAGGCTATATTTCTTTGCAGAGTTTTGATCTGAATGATAACCAAACACAGATCTGCAAAAAGTATTATTTGTAGTACTGTTGTTGCAAGTTACTGTTTAAATTTTAAAATAAAGGGAAGGGGTGTCAAACCTGCTTGTGAAAATTATTTCTCCTACATTTCCAGGTGAAGAAAATATCCTTACAATACCCCAGAAAATATATCTGATAATATACATGTATATTTTTCAGCCAGGCTATAACATTTCTTGTATTAATTGAGCTATTATGGTTGGTATACCTTGAGTTACAAACTAGCTTTTTGCAAATAGTTAAATCAAACCATTATTAGTATAAGAATAAACAACTTTTGGGGAAGGTGGACATTTTTGGAGTGTTCAGTGCATGTTATAAAAACTTTCCCAAAAAATATCATTAAGAAGCTGGTTAAAACTCTAATTGATTGGTAATCAAAATTGTTGCTAATCTATTTCCCCTTTCTTTCCAACCTATCTTTGTCTTTTTCTCTGGGCAAGTCATTAGTTTAAACATATTTTTTGCAACGTCTGGGCATTTCTAAATAAAGCATGGACTACAACAGCCACCAACTGTTTTAATATACTAAATATGCTTGAAGGGAGTATATACATTATATGTCGGAAGCAATACGTGGTAATTTGTTTACAACTTGCTCTAAGCTTGCTCTAGGCTTTAGAGTATGCCTGATTTCTTTTTAATTATTTAATTTACAAAATCTAAAAATAAAATTAAGATCAGGTAGGGTAAGGTGCCAACAAAAGTCCTTGTGGGCATCACTCATTATCTCTGAATTAAGCCTGAAATATGAACCCACTTTTGCTGTCAGACATGTCTCACACATACAGTAAGCCACACTGAGTATTGTTTCATAATACATTTCAACTGTATTCTTCCTTCTTCCCCACCCTCAGGGTTACCATTGTGATAAGTCATATCTAATATCTTTTATTTCAAATGAAAGAATTAAAGTTTCATTAAGCAGCTGCAATTTTCACCTCATGTTAAGAGATCCTCTGTCTCATTTCCTGACTGTGTTCCTTAGGAAAAGAAAGCAAAAAATCATTTTCTACAGATAGAAGAAACCTTTTAACATTTTAAAATTGTACTAAAAGAATGACTGAAACCAGACAACTGTGCATTGTGGAATAATGGACCATTTTGAAAGATCAGAATAAAAGAATGCTACTGAAAGCAATATGCTACCTTCAGTGTAAGAATTGCTTATGGTTTAGGCCTCTGAATATTTAGTTCAACATATTATGAAGTAATGTGACTTTTTTAAAACTTTTTTTATATCCTCAAAGCCTTTTTTCCCCTTAAATTTGTTTACTACTCACTTAGATCAAATATCTATCCTTCTTGTTGGAAAAGGTGTCAAAATAACAGATCTGACAGTGGGATCCAAATGGCACTCTTTTCTTCAAGGCCTTCTGGGTAATATTTAAAATCAAACTCTGGTTTGACCCATGACTATAATCTCAGTATTTTCAAATTATGGTACTCAAAATATAACCAAATCCTTATCACAGCATTTCAAAAGTAGGGGTCCTACTTTCCATTCCTAAATTTGGGTCACACCTTTTAAATGAAGCATTATAAATTGCATGTTCTACAAACAGAGAAACAACATGATATAGTGGTGAGAATGTTAGATTAAGGCCTAAGAGATTCAGGGGTTATCTTTTGCGTAGTCTCTCTTTTAACTCAAAGATGCTTTTTTTCAAGAGGCAACTGGACTTTATTGGGGGGCGGGGGTGATGAAGATGTTTCGCTTCTCATCCAAGAAGCTTCTTCAGCTCTGACTGGATGGTGGCAAATAGAAGGATTTCTATTCCTTGCAGACAGCTGGTCATTTGCATTTTTTTTCTCAAACTGAAGCGCAAATGGTTCCTGTAGTCTGCCATTTTTCTGAAAATCCATTCATACTCCTGCATCATTCAAGGGTGTTCATCCCAAAGAGCACAGCTATCTATGGAGATTCTCAGTCATCTAGGTCATGGTTTGAGAAAAGGGAAAAAAGCACCTTTGAGACAACCATGACCTGGATGACTGAGAATCTCCATAGATGTCCAATATATGTCACAGAACTGATACACCTACACACTTTATATACATATATACATACATATATATGGTTTCTACTCATCCAAGCCTTTTTTATTGGATTAAAATGGGGGGAAGCAGTTAAGACTCTATGAATCTTAATTAACTTCATTTATCAAGAATTCATGCAAAAAATCAGGGATTTTTCAAGTATAGTTAAGTATGAAAACACAAAATAATGCAACCAGATACATCAAAAAAGGGGACAGATCAGGGATCCTCAAACTTGGCAACTTTAAGACTTGTAAACTTCAACTCCCAGAATTCTGGGATTTAAAGTCCATTTGTTTTAAAGTTGCCAAGTTTGGAGACCTCTGGCATAGATGAAACCACAGAGTCAAATAAATGTTATTTAACACTTTCTGGAGGACTCTGTGATCAAATAAAACAATAATATTCCATGTGTGTTAAAATCTAACATATTCCTAAAACAGCAGGAATTTAGGCTTATAAAGATCGTAAAACAAGTTATTTCTTTTTAAAAGGTATCTTATCTTAACATGCTAAATTACTGAAAATTTGGATAACTTTTCAAATAATTTATCTATCACTGATTATGCTCAGTCATGGGACTAAAGGAAATTCCATATCAAAATGGAGAATTTATATAATGAGATTATTCTTTTTATAATTTAAAGTTCCTTTAAATTATAGAGTTTGGATTCATAATGGATAAAAGATGAATTGGAGATGAAAAATGTGGCTGAGAAACATGACTGGCACAATTATTATTCATGGTTTAGTTAATCTGGACTACTGTAATATCCTCTGTGTAGGGCAACTCCTTGATAACAAGCAGGAAGCTTCACCTAGTCCAGAATGCAGCAGCTCAAACAGTCATGGGCACAAATTGTTTTACCTGTGTGACTTTGTATTAAGAACTCAAAATGGGGATATCACCTTCATACCTTAAGACCTGATTCTTTTCAGGAATTCTTACTCCCAGTGGCTTCTGCCCATCTAAAAAAAAGTGACAGAAAAAGATCCCTTCTGATCCCTTTATCTGTAGCAAATATCTCCTGGAATCATAGAATTTGGCATTCTCGGTCACAGATCATTTCTGTAAAAAGTATTTTCCAGTGATTGCATTAACCCACAGCTCTTGGATTTTCCTAAACCAGTAATACATGGTTTTACTGCAAGCCATTGCGGTCTAATGTGTTTAATTTTTCCTTCTTGCAGGGGAATATTGTATGTATTTGAACCATTTCTTATGCATTTATTACATGTTTTTTTAAAAATTAGTTTCATGTTTTTAATCCAATTACTGTATTCAGGTCTATAAGCCTATCAGAGTTGGTTTTATGACCAGAATGGCACACAAGTCAAAGAAGGAAGGAAATAAATAAGGCATTCATCCATTTCCCTCGCTTGCTTCTGCATTAATGAAATAGCATTAAAAATCAATCTGATTCTTGCTAATGTAGGAGTAAGTCTGAGTGAATTTAGCAATATTTATTTCTGAATAGACACATATAGGATTGTATTGTTAATATCTAGACTGAACAACACTATTTATCATTTTGTTAAGTTTTTATGAACTGCATTGCAACTTCACTTCATTATACAATCTGCAGCTATGAGTACTTCACCAATTTGGAAGAGGATATATGGTAGCAATACTGTATAATCTATATTGGAATGAAGTGTGGTATAAGGATAAATGTGTTGGATTAGGCTGAGAAGATCGTTTTTAGCCTCAAAAACTCAAAGGATTACTTTGGGCTATTTTTCAACTCAACCTGCCTCATAAGCATGCTATTGTGGGGATAAAATGAAAGAAGATCCCCATAAAAAAGACTCTTAATTTCTTGGAAAAGAGAATAGGATAGAATGAGGATAGAAATCAAATTTGGAAAATTTGAAAATAGATCCTTTCAAAATTCCAATGAAAACCTGTGATCAAAGTAGACTGTCAAAAAAAATTAATTGTCCATGTTATTCACAACTTCCATTGACAGTATAATTGATGGCAATGCTAGATAGTGCAATTAAATTGTAGCTGCTAATGAATATCCACTCCCACATCCTACTAGGTATATGATAAAGAACTTGTTCTTATAAAACTCACTTTTTCTTTCCTTCTTTCTCCCAACTCCCATCTCTTGTTGGTTCCAGGTTGGTTAATCAGTGGGTTTACTTTCACAATTAGAGTAGGAGGTATATTTATACATAGGAAGGAAATTTCTCATTGATTACATCAATTGCTCTCATTCTGAGGTTTTACTTTTCTTTCTAGTACTGTACTTACAATGGTTTGCTTATTTAAGTCAAAGTAAAAAGATTTGAGATTGTGGTATACACATTTTTTTCTATTAAAGGTGTGAGGTAACCTGCATCAGAACTTTCCAAGAACAAGAGAATTTATGGCTTATGTGTATGGCTATCTTTTTGAAAAACTGACATACTAGAAAATTGCAAGCATTCTGTATATAATGTGTGTGATCCACAATATTATTACATCTAAATATAAAGTCTTAGCAAAGGTTATATATGCTTTAGTTAACACTAATTAACCCAAAAGAAATTTAAATTAATTTTCCTTTCCAGTTTTAACTCTTTTAAAGGACAATTACATCTTTTTACACATGGGAAATTTCATTCTTTGGACAAACAAGGGTACCAAACAAAGAATAGCATTTAAAGTGCTTTATTCGGTTTTCCATTCTGATGTTTGGTGATCGGCCTACTAACATGACTAATTATAAGCCATCAAGTCAGTGTTAATCTTAATAACCACATAGATTTTCTCCATAACAATATGTCTCCAACCAGGTCTTTCAGCAGTACACCCATCACTTCTATAACCGAATCCATCTATAGTATGTTGCTGCTAGTTATCCTCTTTTTGTCCCTTCCATTTTCCCAGTATCAGAACTTTCTCTATGGATCTGGGTCTTCCAATCATGTGCCCCACTGACATTAACTGTTGTCTCTCTGATATTTCTCAGATTCTAAATGCGACCCACCTAGCTGTAATTTTAATAGATAGCATCTCGCTATATGTACAAATGCCATTATATTTTGGGCTTTATCAATTCCTTACTGCTTTACCAGTTTGCAAGTTCTAGGTTTCCTTAAGAAGTTAGTGTGAAAATCAGAGGGCTTGGAGACTTATGAATCTAAGCCCAAGGCATGCAAAGCATGATTTATGACTTAAGTTATTAAAAACCTAATTGTAGTGATTTACTTAACAAGCTTTGATTAAAATTAACTTCTGTTTAACATAGTATGCAAATGTTGGCTTACTTCCCTATGTTTTCTTCTTGTTTTCTTCTATTAAACTTAGGCTCTATGAACTTGCTAGTGTTGAAATGGGTTACTGCTTATCATATTTTTGTAGTACTATCCAAAAGGAATCCAGAATGTGTTCTGCATATCCTGTTAAAAATTCTTCTGGCTTTTTCTAAATTACATGAAAATGCTCAAACCTTTAAAATTTAATGTCACCTCAAAGTAGAAATTGTTAGATGCAAGGAAATGAAAAAGAATTTGAGCTCTTTGTTGTTGCATCAGAGAGCAGGCAGATTGTTGATGTTATTCATTTTATATCTTTTAAGATCATCAGCATATTATTATTATTATAGAAATCCAAAGGTCATGGACTTCTGCAGTAACAGAGCATTCCCCAGTACAGTAGAGGAAATCTGGCAAATTTGGGCTACATAAAATAGAAGAAATTCTCTATTAACAAGATATTTGAGTATTATTCAAAGTTTATTTGCATGCATTTATACTGAAAAGAATTTAATTTATATATTCCTAAATGTTACTGGTATTGGAATTATAGTATCACAGTAAAGTATAGTAAAATATACTGTAAGGTTTGACCAGAACTGGAAATATTCAGGATCAAATCTACTATAGCCATGGAGGCTCACTTGTCTTTAAGCCAACTAGTATGCACCGAAGATAAATACCTTGTGTGTCCAAG